TAACTAAGCGATTAAAAGTAAAAATAAATAAATACAAAATAAAACTAACCCTGCTGCCCCCTCCATCTGTTGCCATTCTCCATTCTCCAGGAACCTGACCTTGGGGCAGCAAAGAGAGTAAATCTGGCCCTAAGAATGAGAAGGTAAGATCTAGCAGGTGAAGATATGTAGTGCACTGTAAGCATTTGCTGTGCATTATATCAGTGACTGTATAAATGTTGAGCAACATCCAAGTTTTAAAGCCGACCATGCAGATATCGCTGTGTCACATATGTGTCTAAAGTTGATGGGTAAATCCTTACTTCTGTGGACACTGCCTTTTGGGTTTATCTCAAAATCATTACACATTGATCCTATTGTTGTGTTGGTGCACTGGTAGTCAAAGGACCCGAAAACATTTTATTCCCACTAAGTCATAGTCTAGAACTGATGTTCTAGACTATGTAAAGCTTTCAGCAGTTTGCTTTAGAAAGTAGAAATACCTTAAGTAGTCATTTGGGCTTCCCTTCTGTAATACAAAAGAAGGATAATGAGATCAGTCCTTGTCGTCATTGTAACCCACTATTTTATTGTGATTTTAATTGTACGGTGCTGTGGTGTTTTGCTGTTATGGTTGAAGCCACCTGGCGTCTTCCATGTTTTTCCATATTTGAGGATGTTTCCATGTCTTCTGGGTCATTCACTGTCCACCTCCAAGGTCACCCACACAGTTTAGAAACATCATAGGTTAACAATCACTCAGCAGATTGTCACTGGCCTCCAAGAATACTAACCCCTTCTAGGGCCACAGTGGTATCCAACAGTACAGAACTGTTAGAGAGCATTATAAAGAATGCCCAAAACATGTTGGCATGTCTAACAAACAGTTTATAGTGGTATACTGCTGTAGTCTTAGAGGTAGTAATGGTTCTGTGAGACTAATAAGTGCCTTATTTTATTAATCAGGTTAATGAATGTGTTTAATTAGAGACATAATGGTATCTGACAATAGAAGCAGATGACCTAAAATTGTTTTATTACTCGTGCAAATGGGTGTTAGATACTTTACGCTTACAACCTTTCCAGTAATGAAATCCCGCCTTCCTGGCACCGACAAAGTCTGTTAGGTCACACATTAAGCCCATTCTCAGTAGTCTGTTCACATGCAAAGTTTATTGCCCGTCTCTGTTTATGTCATTCTACATATGTAAATATATATTACATGTCCAACCTACCAATGCCCTAATGTAACTGAAATATATCAGTTTTGGACTAGCCTTTAAAAAATCATAAATAATGCAAAAGCCATCCATCCCACTGACATCATAAAAAGTCTTCTAAATAACTAAGTGCCAGCTGAAACTTTTGGGTACATTGCCTACCTGCTACCTGGCATGTGTCCAGCCCCATCTTTAGGCTCTGTATGGAATCTTACCATTCTTTGGCTCCATTAGGAATTAGAACTTTCTCCCATTCCTCCCATTCAGTTTATCCTCTAGCGTTGAATCAGCTCTGAACTTCTATGTATATAGCTTCTTCTTTTGCCTAGTAACTAACAATCAGCCCTGAGCTGCAAGATTCAGCCAAGAGAGTTCCTTGGGTCATTCGGTCGTCCCTCAGCCCATGGCAACACTAACAATTGGAGAGGCGAACAATGGAAGGGCTCAGAGGCAACTATCACACATTCATCAACTGCATCCTGTAACTGGAGAATCAGCATGACCGGCTAGGCTGCAATAGATGATGGGATCTTTGGGCCCGTGACTGCTGTTCTCTCATTTGAATTTATTTCACACCCTTGGTCATGTGGCTGTACAATGCTTAGAAACTCACAATGCTTTATGAAAACTGAGCTGGAAATTGAGGTGCTGTCAAGCAGAAAAGTCTAAGCTATAATTTTTCTAGGGCAAGGATATTAAAGCTCCTGATTGGTTGCTATGGGCAATGGGCTTTTTTTGTATGAGCCCTACATAGCAATAACTATCGGGAACAAGTGACTCAAAATCCACATACATCTAAATACACCAATGCTGTGTGTTTTTCAAGAGTCTGATGACCCGTACATTTGTAAGTAATAGTATTTGTAAGTAATAGTATTTGTAAGTAATAGTATTAGTATTAGATAGATATGAGATAGATAGATATGAGAGAGATAGATAGATATGAGACGATAGAGAGATATGAGATAGATAGATATGAGATAGATAGATAGATATGAGATAGAATAGATAGATATATATGAGATAGATATTAGATAGATATGAGATAGATAGATAGATATGAGATAGAATAGATAGATATATATGAGATAGATATTAGATAGATATGAGATAGATATGAGATAGATAGATAGATATGAGATAGAATAGATAGATATATATGAGATAGATATTAGATAGATATTAGATAGATATGAGATAGATAGATAGATATGAGATAGAATAGATAGATAGATATTAGATAGATAGATAGATAGATAGATAGATAGATATGAGATAGATAGATATGAGATAGATAGATAGATAGATAGATAGATAGATAGATCAAGCAAGGTATTGCCCTTTTCCTTACTCCTGCTGTCCTTTTAGAGTTGTACTGGGAACATCAGTTGGTCTGCTTGTCAATCTTGCTTCTGTTGACTACTAATTCTGTCTGCAGATACAAGTCACTCTGCATACAAATTTATGTAGAAGAAACCACCTTTATCATCTGTTTAGATGCAGCATGTTTACTCACAGGTAGCCTGCAGAATGAGCACAAAGCCTGCTCCTCTCAGGCCCCGTTCACATTGAGCGGTTCACAAATCGCGGCAAAATCCACTCCAAAAAGGGTCCTGCTGTAGCGACACACGACCCGCGACAGCAGGACCCTTTGCCCCATTGAGATGCATTGAAGCGCGATATCGTGCGGTATATGGCGGCGATATCGCGGGAATTACCGCGCGATAAATCGCCCAATGTGAACGGGGCCTAAATGAAGACTTGCTTCTATCACCCTAAAGCCCGGCAGACCATTTTCTTTGCCATTTCCTCAATATGCTTTTTTCTTCCTGCACCTGCTTTCATACACATCGTTGAAGGCATGTGTTAATATAAACATAATTGTTTTAGGGTTGCCAGGTAGACATGGAGCAACATGATGATTTATGTTCATTCTTTTTTTTTTTTTAAATACAATGGGGCATTTATTCTTTACCACTTTGCAGCACGCCAAAATAACCCCGTCAGCGCCAAACAAAAGCAGCTTGAGCCAAAGGATACATTGCACGATGGCACTGGAGCAGGGTGTTGTCTACAAATTGATAACTTCAGTGCAGGACTGAGTTACAGTGTACTAGGTAATCAAGGTACTATATTAGAACAGCCTGCACATGTTAACTATTTAATTGCCAGAGCTGAATAGCAGGTATGCTGTAGCCTACTATTTTGCAGCGGGGTGCCTGGCCAATGTTAACCCATTGATGCTGGAGTAAATTATCATGCAAATAGTTTCTGCTTGTGTGCTGGAGAACAGTAGGATGTGTAGGACAAATCTTTAAATGCGTACACCAAACTTTGAAATTTTGTATTATTGAGGCTGGCAATAATATATTATTGCTTTAGGAGTCAGTCCAGCCAGAACTAATATTTTAGTTTTTGTCAGATGCTGGAGAGGCAAATCAGCTCAGCAAAACTCTCTGCAGTTCTGGGTCTGGATTTTCATTTATTTTATATTATGGAGATTGTAATAAGAGTAGCGGGAACACACTTCTGAAAAGGTGACGGGAGCACCCAAAACTCCCAGGAGGACAGGAGCAGAGCCGGGAATTATGCCAGAAAGATCTCACTGTTAAAGTCTCCAAGACACCACACCACCAAAATGTCACTGTTGGGTTGACTGAGCCCCTAATGCATCATCAAGCAGTAGTCAGCCTGACATAGTATAGCTAGCAATCAGCTTATGTTTCACCAACGATATAATGGGACCCGTCACCGATTGGTAAATAAAGAAGTTCAGCGTTATTTATAAATTAAAATAAACATTGTTATATACAATTGACAAGAATGTGCTTTGTCCATTGTGTGTTACAATATTGGAGGTTCATGTTTAAAGTTAAATAACCAATCAACCTGAAATGAAAATGTTACAGAGTGCCCACTGCTGTTAATGAATCAGATATCTAACATAAGTGCAATGTTGATGTGCAAACATTTGATCAATGCTGGCAACTAGAGATGCACCGATACAATTTTTTCCAGATTCAGTACGAGTACCAATACTTTTCCTCAAGTACTCGCTGATACCAATTACCGATACCTTGTTATAGTGTCATGTGACAGTGCTTGATTTTAGGACAGTGGTGGAGCGCCAGGGCCTGGTCGTTGTAGTGATAGTTCTGCCACTGACTAGTATCTAGTACTAGTATCGGTGCATCCCTACTGGCAACCCTATGAAGCACCAGAAGCCCCAAATGTGGCAGATGTCAGAATTTGTCTGTAGCCCCATAACTCAATCGGGTTACAGACAAAAATAAAGGCCTGCCATTAATTTTAACTCACTCTATAAGTGATTAAAAAAAAATGGCTGAAGTTTGGCTTTAATATACCCTGTCCTGTAGTGCTCTAGAAACATATATCTATGGTTGTTCCTAAATTCCTATTTAGATGATTGTATTTGTAAGTTAATGATTATTTAAAGGGTCAGTCCAAACAAAGCTAGATGTCAGTGGGGCAGATGCCCATTGGATGTATATCTTGAACTTGAGTTCCCAGCACCACCCACTTGCCTTATTTGTAATGAGCGGGTCTGTTTTTCCTTGTTGGATTTTTTTTTTTTAATTATGAAGAATGCAGCCGAAAGAAACTCCTTAAGGGTAAGGGACAGCAATGGTGGTGTGTGAATAGATCCACCAGCATCCAATTGCACGTCAAATACCAGTTTTGGATGGACTGATACTTAAAGGTAGTTATTTAGGTCCTTACTGGTGCAGAATAGCTGAAGGATGTTCAGTTGCCACATGTGCACCTGTTAGGTTAAATGATTTAAATACGCAGATATGTAGGAAAAAACACAACGAAAAACAGCACAAGAATACAGCAGGTGAAAATCCACAAGAGGCATCCATAATTTCTCAACATTAAGTGGCAGCGGTGGTAGTGTGGCTGTCGAGTAACCGTGGTTATGTCCCGTGACTGAGAGAAGCGGGGCTGAGCAGCCCCCAGTAGATAGACTGTGATAATGATATTTTCATCTTGTCCTTGTGGGAAGTGAGACAGAGAATTTCTGGTACTGCTGGTGTAGGTCTGCCCATGATCTTTCTTCCAACAAAGTTTAGACCCTTCAAGCCACACTTTCTGCAGCTGACTCATCCATGGCGGGAAATGGGAGACAATATCCATGTTAGGGGGTAAGTGTGGGATGCCCCCCTGTGGGATGGTGACCGTGGCCCTGCAGATGGGGCAGCAAAATGCTTCCATCTCTTTCTGAAAGACACAAAGCTTGGACAAACACTCCATGCAGAAGGTATGATTGCAAGGCAACAGGAGAGGAGTTTTGAAGACATTATCATAAGATCCAAAGCAAATTGGGCATTCTGGAACTGCATACTCCTGTTCCATGTCTGAAACAAAATGGGCAGTCTGAGAGCAAGCAATACAAGTCTTAGTTCTTCCTGGAATCAAGTTGACTTTGCAAAGGTCTTTTTCAATAGTAGATGCCAGAGTTTCATTTTCAGTTGTAGAAGAAGCAAGATGAAATTAGATAAATTGAATAATAGTCCAGTTTGTGGTCTCCAAAGATGGAAGACCAACCTCTGTCAAATCCAAACTAGTATAGATGAAAAAGTTTCGATCTACATGTATCCAAGAGCAAAGATAAGTTCCTATGAAGGAAGAGGTGATAGAATCTTAGAAAATGGTTTTACAAACTTAGGCACGAGGCCCAATTATCATCTATACATCAGACACTATGTTGTAGCAGGCTACCATACCTGTGTAGGAAGGTCTGAAAGTTCTCAGGTCATGGGGCTGTCAGCTTCCCAACTTAGGAACATGACTGTAGAAGTTCTCTGTTCCATTTATCTCTGAATGCCCAGGTATCCGAGCAGTCATCCATTTGTTTGTAGCCCTGCTTCATAAAGGATTGTTCTTGAGTAAAGAGTGTTGGACTGGAATAGGCTGTACAATATTAATTACTTGCTCGTCAGCTTTGTGTTCACGATGCTCCTAGTAACAATATTTACTTATTCTGTTGGCGTGGACTCATACAGTGACACGGGATCATGTTACTCACTGACAATTCAAGACTGTCCTTCTTGCTCAGCACAATCCCTTTCATTAAGGTGTGATATCTACTTTTGCCACATTGATGTCCTTTTAGATCAGAGGGAGTTCGCTAAAAGCCGAAGGCAGAAGGCCAACTAGAAGAAGGCAATCACTTCCAAACCTGTAAGGAATTTTCTGGACCATATCTGGAGGATTAATCTTCAAACTCCTATATAGAGGGGAATTGATTGTTCAGTAAAGTGAATGTAAACCCTAACAATCAACTTCTCTTGTTTGGTCCCTTTTAGTATGTTACGTGTACCATTGAAAGTGTTTTGTTACATTTGTTTAATAAGTTCAAAAACATCTACTCTTCAATCTAATTCAAACTTCTTTAAACTCTGGTCTCATTCAGCTTTTTTTTTGTGTGATAGAACTACAGACCTCAGCACCGCCATAAGGTTTTTACACAGGTGAAACTCTGAGATTAGTGACTACATTACACATATGGATTTAATTTCATTCTGAAGGAGACGTTCAGAGGGCAATACATCTACACTGTTAAGATAGATAAGCAAATGTACGGACGAGCCCTGGGGCCATGCTAAAAAAAAATATGAAACATAATTCTGAGATTAAAAGTCAAAATTCTGGGTTTGAAAGTCAGAATTCAGACTTATAATCTCAGAACTCTGTTTTTAAAATTCTAAGTTGGAAAATCAGAATTCTGTCTTTTAAACTTTTTTTTAGCATGGCCCCAGGGCTCTTCCGTACAAATGCTTCTACTGCACAGAGGAGGATCTGTGACTAGACAACCCTGATCTATGTTGGAAACAAGTTAGTTTTCCTAATCAGCACCCCTAATGGGGGCCTCTCATACCCCTGGACCCATAGCAGCTATGTGGGCTGCCAAGGCTATTGGTACAACATTGGCATATGTGTGACAGCTGAAGTGTCCCATGCTAGCTATAAGTATTGGGAAAGGTATATTATACTCTGCCAACACTTCTCCTTTAAAGTGGTCCTTGCAGCAAAATGTATGGTTTACTTATTAGATCAGGGCCCCCCCCCCATAATTTATCATTATTATTATTTTACAGGATTTTTATAGCTTAGGCCAAACAGATATAAATATGAGTATTTATGAACTATATGGGTTACCTGTGATTAATTTGATACCTAGCACTTTATTATTCACGCATTATGCTGATTGATTAGGGCGGTGCATCTGTTTTATCAAATTTATTTATATTATTAGCATGGCAGCTTTTCATCTTTTATATTTGATATTTATCACTTTGAGACAGCTTCCATAGTGCAGAATTTCTTTATATTCATCAGGATTTTTATAGCGCCAACAGTTTACGTAGTGCTTTACAATATAAGGAAGACATTACTATCACAATACAATTCAAGACAAGATGGCAAGGAGGGCAAAAATATACCTGCAAGGAAAAGAGTCAGAGTGAACACTTACCTAACCGTTGTTTCTTGCACTGCAGGGAGTGACGGACCTATCCTTCCCCAAGATTCCTGGGGGGAGTACCCCAAATATTGTAAGAAGACACTACAGCCCAGTGCAAGAGCATGGAGATTTACGATCCTCATCATTCCCAGGATCACACTGGAAGGATCATGACATTGCCCTCACCTAATCGCAGAGAGTGGAAGACGGGGTATAGTAAGTATATATTTTCACTTTTTTCCTTACAGGTACATGGTTACCCTTATACACTAGATCAATTTCTATAGAGGGAGGGGGGCCTGATCTAATAAGCAGAGCTTTCATTTTTCTGTTGATGGAAAATTGAAAATGTTATTGTTATCAACAAAACAATAGATGTGAAGTCTTCCAATGGGGACACCTGTGCCAGTGACAGTGGTCTGAGAGGGGATTTCTCCTCACTTTGGAGAGATTTCCTCTCTATTTCTGTTGTGTCTGCAGGACAGGAAAGGAATACAAAATCTTACAGCTAAGAAGAAGACTCAAACAGATTATAATTGTTCCCTACTCTATGCAAAACTAAAAAAAATGGCAAAAGTATTGTGCTTTGATTGTGATTGTGTTTTACTGCTCTTCTTGTCTTACTGGAAGTCTTAAGGACAGGGTCTTTCTGCCTAATAACAATAGAATTTCTAGAGCTCCAAATAAATGAAATGGTCACAGTGCTCCTGGGAGACATAGACAATGTGATCTGAGCTGCCTAGCCTTTAGGTCAGATGAGGCATCTCGGCAGCTGCAGATTTGGAACTTTTGCACTTTTTTTACACAAAATAATATCATTTTGGATACCTCCCAACTTCCAAAATAAAGAGGGACATCCTAAATCATAAAGTATGTTGGCAAAAGACACATCCCTGCCTCGCCCCGAGTACATGGACCTTAAAGAATGAATATGCAATAAATGATTAAACACACAAGTGGTTCTTTACTACTTTACTATTTTACTGGCTTTCTGAAATAGCAAATCAATCATTCAGAAGTGGGATGAAGGTATAGTGTGGTGTAGTACATTGATAGGTAAATAGTACTTTTTTTTATAGCGGTCTGGTCATCGGACCAAAAAGAGGGACACATTAGTGAAGGAAAAAGGGAGAGAGGGATCTGGTTCCAGAAGAGGGGCAATCCCTGCAAATGAGGGACAGTTAGTAGCTATGAAAGAGGTACACGTGAGAAGGGAAAAGGGAGAGAGGGATCTGGTTCCAGAAGAGGGGCAATCCCTGCAAATGAGGGACAGTTAGTAGCTATGAAAGAGGTACACGTGAGAAGGGAAAAGGGAGAGAGGGATCTGGTTCCAGAAGAGGGGCAATCCCTGCAAATGAGGGACAGTTAGTAGCTATGAAAGAGGTACACGTGAGAAGGGAAAAGGGAGAGAGGGATCTGGTTCCAGAAGAGGGGCAATCCCTGCAAATGAGGGACAGTTAGTAGCTATGGATGATGCTATCTACCATACTAATTATTGTAAAGTCTGAATTTTAATGACAGGTCCACTTTAAGCAGCAATTGGCACTGTGTCTCCTGGTTTATAGAAAATCAATCATTTCAGTTCTGGATTGCTCCTGGAAGACCATTCAGACCCCTTCATGTAAAGGATTCTTTATAAACGGTGAGCTGTTCTTTGACATTGCTGTAACAGTGTATACACCATGGTAGCGCAGCTGATGCCGGGATCATTTGCCAGGGAAATGAAGGCAAATGTTATTACCTTCAATATTTTTCCGCTTGTAAATAAATGGTTCATTGAGAATCTAGTTTTCGGTTCTGTAGTCTTCACTACAAAATAACAGCCTTACCCCTAATTCTTTGAGTATCATTATTTCATGAATTAAATAAAACACCCATTTTGTTGAAAAAGTAACTCTCCCACCCAGGTGAACCCCATGCACTGTAAGCAGTCCGGCATATATATTTTATTGCAGGTCCTTACTTACTCCTGTGCTACACATTGTAATGTAAGTTTTCAATCTGACTGTTAGGTGGGGGAGGGTCTGACTTCATTATAACCACCTGTGCAGTCCTGGAGTTACAGGAAAAGGAGCGCCATCTGCTTTCCTTTAGTGTGCACATATTTTATCAAATTTATTGGGTCGGCGCAGATTTCTAGAAGCTTTGAGTGAAATTGAAATGAGCAGGATATGAAATTTCTGAGGCTGTCCTTTACACAGTTTGAATCCTTTGACAGCTCTAGAAAATCTTAGCAGCCAGATTGAAATGGAAAGCTAAATGTTACAAAATGTAACAGTTCTATGCTGTATATTATAACAATTATTTAGCTAAAGCATTGTTTTCTTTAAAGTGCTGGTCCACCCTGATCTGACTAGAGATGCTTAACTTTGTGGTGGTGCTAGGCTTGCTGATCTGGCCATCTAGGACACTTTCAGAGCATAGCCATGCACAAGGCTCAGTTTACCTTGAGGTACACTAGGCACATACCCTGTAGACCAGGGGCCTCAAAGTACCGGCCTGTGGGTACTTTGTAGCCCGCAGCCAACTGACAAGTCAGGCACGCAGTCATGGAACGCATACCTGACTTGCTGGACTGCGTACCTGACTTGCGGCAGCATCTCTGTCGTAAGCAGACCACATAGCTGCTCCGGTACACCGGCACTCAGATCCTTTCAGCTGGCACTCTGGCAGTCTTCACTGAACTGCAGCCGAAAGGCTGGATTAGT